GAGGAAATTTTTCTGTCTTGTAAAGAAGGAAACAAACACAAAAACCATGACAAAGGACGTTTGGGGGATCTCCCCAAGAGGAGGTTGGGTTTTTGACCGTGAACGAAAAGCCCGAGGAGTATAAGATAGAAAGGATAAAGTTAGAAGAATTCGAAAAAAAAGAAGAGTGGGGAAAAGGGTTTCTAGAGCAGAAAGCGACGAAGACAACAGCTGAAAGGACGAAGTGGCAAACCAACAGTGCGGAAGGAGGCATTGCCCCCCTCCCCTCCCAAAAAAAAAAAAAAAAGAGGAATCAATCGTATCGGATGTCAGACCTCTTTCCGACGCCCATCCGCCTGTTGCTGAGGGTCTGGCCACCCTGGTCGAAGACGACGACGTGGTTCTTGATAAAGGTCAGGCCGAGGATCGAGATCTCCTCGGGGCCCTCTTGGATGGCCGAGTAACAGAGATTCTTCTTCCCTCCAGTGTACTTTGAAGGGATGGGCGAGTTGGGGTAAAAGACGAGGTCCTCGACGGGGACGGTGAAGTTCGTCCCCTCGATCTGGATCGACAGAGGCTTGTTCCTCTTGGTCTCGGGAAGCGACCTTTCGTACCGAACCGTCCCCGTCTCGCAAGGCACTAGCCAGTGCTGGCTCACCTGGGACGAGTTGGTGTAGAAGGAACCTTGGATCTGCTGGTTGGCCTTGCGCGCCATGGCGCTCGGCAGGTTGATGACAGCCGATCCGGTGTCAATCATGTAGCGGATGGGAGCGGCCGTCGTGGCCGGCGGTTGCGAGAGGACGACGTCGCCGATCGACATCCTGTCAAAGTATGTGCCCCAGAAGTAGGCCGAGCGGACCGGGGTCCAAGTGATCTCGCCCTTGAGCCTGCTCGAGTCGATTTCCCCCAAGACGTATTGACCCCCACCGTTCTTGCCCGTCTCCCTGTCGGCTTTGACCAAAGTGCAGCTGAGGTAGGTCTGGTTCAATTGCCCGGCTTTCGACATTGCCTCAAAAGGAGTTGTCGTCGCCCCATCTTGGACGCTGCCGATACCTGCGCTCAGACCCATTAGACCTTCCATGGCCCTCGAGGCCCTCGAGGCGGTCAGTGAAGTGGCGAGGGCGATGGTTTGATTCTCAACCTGGATCCTCTCGTTGGAAAAGGAGACCGTGTCGATGCCCATGTAACCGAGGGTCGATCCGGATCCGTAAGAGGCGTCGAACTTTTGGCCGGGCGTACCATCTGGGGCCCTGGTCGGCTTTCCGTCAACGACGGTGCGGTTCGAGAAGGTCCTGGACTTGGATGGGTCGAAGAAAGTGTGATCCTCCGCGTAGCAGCAAGCTGGGCTGTAGACCCAGGTATCTGGCGAGCCAGTGTCGAAGACCATCTTGAGGACCTGCTTCTTGGTCCTCTTCTTGGGTGTGCCGAATTCTACCTCGACCAAGAACTCGTTGTCCATTTCCGAGTTCTCGGCCTTCATCAGTGCCACGCCCCACTCTTCGTCATGCTTCCAACCATGGTGGATAAAGTGCTTGAGGCCATGTATTGTGCCGTCAATCACGTCTTGGATGAGGCCCCCGTTGTCGGAGGAGCACTGCTTTCCCCTAGATCTCTTTGAACGATTCTTACCCGTCGCTAGGCCTTCCCCATAGTGAGAAAGCTCCCTTTTTCTGAAGTTGGCAAGTTTGGAGGTTTTCCACCTCGGTCGAAGAAATGCGGCAATGTCCTCCTCGTTCTCGTTCCAGAGAGACGCGTAGGGGTTATGTGTGACTTGCAAGGACTTTGAAGAAGCCTCACCAGAAACGGGTTCCGCTGAGGTCTTTGTCGAGAGAAGCAATGCCGAAAGAAGCAAAGTCAAGGGTGTCGCATTCATCGAGAACATCTCGACTTTTTTTGTCTATTTTGATTGTGGATAGGACGAACAAAGTCGAAGGTGACGTGGAAGAGCGGAGTGGGGGGGGGGAGGGTAGGTGTCGCTGCCGGTACGATGAAAGAGGGTGTCCAGTATGACGATGAAGTTAAGTAAATGTGCGGGACTGAAGTTCCTTGCGCTATCCCTTGTACTGTCCTTTGTGCAGCTCCTGCAAAGTGGTCCCGGTGAAGAGTCTAGGTTTCTGTAAATGGAGATTGATGGTTGGGTTGGAGTCAACACGTAAAATACCAATAGGAGGGAGGCGCGAGAAGGGGCAGAGTCAAGGTTGGCGAGCTGATAGAGTAGACGGAGGTGCAAGAGGAAGGGAAGGAAGGTGGAAGCGGCCCGACGACCGAGGTTGTGGAAAAGAAAGGTCTTAGGTAGAGCGGGAAAGCCGGGGAGAGAATCGGCCTGATGAGCTGCAAAATCGTTCTCTTTGCCTTTCCTTTCTTTGTCTTGTCTGAGATCGAAGATGGAAGGGGTGGGGAAACGGGGCGGGGGCGATCCTCTAATGCCAGCTGGTTGGTTCAAAACGCTTTCCTCTTAAGGAGTGCCTTCCACTGGTCCGCCTGCTGACGCCCCTGCTTGTTCTATGCCAAGCAGCCTCCACTGATGGCGGAAGGTTGTATATCCAAGGATTCTCTTAAATAAAGGGAAAGGGAAGAAAACGAACAAAGGTTGGCGAGTGTAGGTCTGGTCAGCCTCAGAGCGGCATGTCGATGGGAGGAGGTCTTTGAGGGAAGGGAGAATGTATGCTAAGCGGGAGGAAGGTTTACTGGGCGTTAGTGCATGAGTTTGTCTTGTTTCATGCGGGATAGGGAGGAGGGAGGAAGGGAGAGTGTTTTGAGACGGGGCGGAGGTGTTGACGATGGGAGAAGGAGAGAGGAGAGGTAGAGGTAGAGGGAGAGGTTGAGAGAGAGAGAGCAAGAGTTGTAGAGGGCGATCACGGTTGCACTTGATGCATGCAAGCAAATCTCTGACCTTTTTGTCAGGGCTGCAGACGGAGTTGTCGATTTGTCTCAACCCAATCGAGGAGGCGATGGACGTGAACAGGGACCACGTAGTAGGGACGAGGCGGAGAAGATCATAAAACCAAGACAGGGAAGAAAATAAAAACAAGAGGTAAGGGACGCAACGGGGAAAAAACCTACGAGAACAAAAACACAGAAAGGAAGGGACAGCTTGTGGCAAACACCTTTCCCCCCTCTCACCATTTTGTATCACTCCTCCTCCTCCTCCTCCTCCCCCCATGCCCCTTGCGAATCAAAGTGACTCTCCTGGGAGGAAAAGGAGGTGGTGAAGGGAAATGGGTGAGAGAATGAGGGTGCTGCGAGGGCAATAATGAGGAGGAGGAGAGGGGATGAAGGAGGAGACCAATACACGAATAAGCCGCCGTTCAAACTCAATACGCACGATGAATAGTTCAATGAGGCCAAATGAGAGCGAGGATACATTCAAGCCAGGGGGGGGCTGGGAGAGGAGAGGGGAGGAGAGGAGAAGGAGGGAGGGTCCGAGTCGAAACTCGAACGACAACGGCAACGACGAGTCCAACCACTACTACTACTCGAACAACAACAACAACAGCAGCAGCAGCAGAAGAAGCTTACAGGTGTCAAGGAAAAGGAGAGGTGGAACCCGAGTGTAATCGAATCGGAACAAGTGAATACCATGTAAAGAGAAGGGCACGCATCCGGCTTCGCGCGCGCGCCCCAGTCTGAGTGTGAAATAGTTTTTGTCTCACTTGCCACAGTCCGTCTTTTCCCCCCCTCCCAACTCCCTCCCCGTACTCGAGGGTCGGGGTGGCTGTCGACCACTGACGAGCGCCATCCAAGCCATCGTATTTCGGTCGTGGCCGCTCGCTCGCTCATGACAAACCCCACCCAAATTCTGATTCAGGCACCTTTCATCATCGTGACTCTGGAAGGAAGGAAGGGAAAGATCCAGGGCGGTGGCTCAAGATGCATGTGACGCCAAGATGGGCAAAAAGAAAGGGAGGAAGGAAGCAGGGAGGTGTGGGATGGGGTGACTGTGTTTTTTTCCCCAAGTTCCTGACCCTCGGCGAGCGGTTGCTCGGAGCTCCAAACAGGCATGAAGAATAGGAAGCAAAGGGGTCTTTCGAGAAACATAAAAGAAAAGGAAAGGGAGAGAGAAAAGAAAAGGAGGAGGAGGAGGAGGAGGCTTGCCCCCTCCCCCCACCAATATCGTTCAGCCACCACCATCATTGTGATCTTTTTTTTTTTTACAAAGTTGCCTTTGAGACTGTCGGCCTTCAGATAGACAAGGCTCGTTCTCCCGACAACCAAACCTCGGCTATCATGGTTTGGTTCCTGCGCGAGACCAGGGTTCTCCCTTCCCTCTCCTTGGCGTTCCTTTTCTTTTTTTTTTTTTTTTCATCTTCTTCCCTTTCTTTTTTGCTACTCTCTTCCCTCACCTGTCTCTCTCCCTCCCTCTCCCCCTTTCCTTTGACGCACGCCCCTTCTTCCCTCCCCCCCCTCCCCCCCCTCCGCCCTCCCGTACCCTGGCCTCCTTGCTTGGGCTGAGCCAATGAGTTGGCTGCTGCGTCGTGACGATCGGGACCACTTGACAAACACGAGCGTGATCATCTCTCAACCAAGCTCAACCGCACCAAACCGGCAAGCGCATTCACAATTGGTGATTGTGCTTAAGGGTCCGTTCTTTTTCTCCTTTTGCTCTTTTCGAAAATCCCCGCGAGCGAACTGGACTTTGAACCAGCATCCCAACCACAACACCTTTTCTCTCATGTGACATGGTAAGGCCTTGATCAGTCCCAGTTGTGAGTGTAGCAGGGTTCTTTTATGAAAGAAAAAAGAAAGGGGAACAATAGGAACGATTTCCCCCACCTCCTCCCGACCACATCTTCGAGAAAATTTGCCGTCCCCTCTCACCATAGACGGGAGGAGCATTCTTTGTGGAAAAAGGCGGAGCTGACCCCTTAAGCCAAGAAGAGGCGCCTTGCCGGATGACTTCATGAAGTGGTAATCTTATGATTCTGAGCTTTGATCTTGGTTCGTATCTTTCTTCATGAATCGGCTGAACATATGCGATAGTGGTAATAATGTTCTAGACTCCTTGTGCGTGTGTCCAAGTTGGGGATTTAGTTCAGTGGTAGAGCGTTCGCTTTGCATGTAACCATCTGCTTGCGAAAAGTCGCCGGTTCAATCCCGGCAGTCTCCATCTTTTTGCTTCATCCATATTGATTTCCTGGAGTCACGTGATGAAGATGGACACGCTTTTCAAGCATTTTTTTACAAGTACTCTTTTTTGAACGAAATCTCTATGATTACAATCATAACCTCCCTCCTTCACCTTCTTTTCCTTTTTTTTTTTTCTTCTCGGGGGAGGAAAGGAACAGAAACTTACTGCACCAGCCCCAAACACATCTTCCCATCTCCACTCAATCCTTCTTCCAATTCCTCCCCACCGACACATCAACTCTGACCCTGTCCCCTGATACCTCCCGGTGCCGTCTTCTCCTAACCTTGACCAAGGACATCAAAGCCTCGCCGTCCAATCCAGCCCAGCCGGTGGAAGAGAAAGAGTGAGGGGAGGGAAAGGACCATCCGACCAAAGGAAAAGCTCAACAAGAAGGCAGGTCAGCGGAAAGGAGGCATAGAGGAGGGAATCGTAAGAGGATAAGAGGGAGAAGAGGAAGAAGAAGAAGAAGAAGAAGAAGAAGGAGAAGCAGAGAGAAGGAGGGGAAAAAAGGATCAAGAAAAAAGCCAGAGACTCGAACCAACCATGCCAGCGGTGGCCTCAAACGTCAACAAGGCTTTGAAGCCGGAAGCCAACTCGAGCCGTCTGCTGAGGTTCACGGGTCACTCTCACTTCCGACAGAGGCTCATACTGTCCATCCTCTCTGGGAGACCCGTCAGGATCGACGCCATCCGACCTGAGGATCAGGAACCGGGAATCAGGGATTTCGAGGCGGGCTTCTTGAGGCTCTTGGAGAAGGTGACCAACGGTTCCCACGTCGAGATCAGCTACACAGGTACCTCGGTCCTCCTCAGGCCCGGAGTCATCGCCGGCGGCACCGTCAACCACGACTGCGGGACCTCGAGGTCGATCGGCTACTTTTTGGAATGGATCACCATCCTAGCCCCTTTCGCCAAGAAAGAGCTTACGTTGAACTTGAAGGGGATCACCACCGCCGAAGGCGATCTAGGTGTAAGTAGAAAAGAAAGAGGAAGAAAGGCATGATATGTGGGGCTCCTTTTTTATTTTTTTGGGGACTTTTCGAAAGCTCATATACTCTTTTCCTCTCCCTCTCTTCCTCGCTCCGCAACTCCTTTCCTTCCCTTTATCATCGCATTTCGCTCCCTTTATTCCCTTCTCGTTCCCCAGGTGGACACGCTTCGAACAGTGACCCTACCTCATTTGAGCCTGTTCCTACCTCTGAACACCCTGAGCACCCTGTCATCTTCGCTAGAGCTCAGAATCCTCAAAAGGGGAGCCGCACCACTTGGTGGGGGGGAGATCCTCTTCAGATCCCCCATCCTGGCCCACCTCGCCACGATCAACTTTGTCGAGCCCGGTAGGATCCGAAAGATCCGGGGAATCGCGTCTTCGGTCAGGGTGAGCCCTCAGATGAGCAACAGGATGGTGGACCGGGCCAGGGGGATTCTTGGAAGGTACATCCCGGACCTCTACCTCTTTGCAGACGTCTACCGGGGGGAGGATTCGGGCAAGTCGCCAGGGTTCGCCCTCTCGCTGGTCTCAACCTCGACCACAGGCGCCATCCACTCGTCAGAGTACGTCTCCAGGCCTTCCGATCCCACCAAGGGCCTCGAGGCGCTGACACCGGAGGATGTCGCCACCAAAGCGTGCCACCAGCTCTTGGAGGAGATCTCGACGAAAGGTTGCGTCGACCGCTCCCACCAACCTCTGGTCTTGACCCTGATGGCGCTTGGCCCCCAGGACGTGGCCAAGTGTAGGATGGGAAGCCTGACTCCCAACGCCATCCAGTGCCTCAGGGACATCAAGGAGGCCCTCGGCGTCAGCTTCAAGATCACCAGAGTCACCGAGGCGAGGGAGGAGGAGGAGCAGGGGGAGGAAGAAGACGACGAGAGCATCACCGAGCTGAAGAAGAGGGAAGAGGTCATCCTCAGCTGCGTCGGAATCAACCAGAGAGGTTTCAAGAAGGTCGGTTGATGGGGCTGCTTCTGCGCGGGATTTGGGGGGGGGGGGGGGGG